GATAGGGATATCTTAATATGGCACATTGGCCGTGAATTGCAAAAAGTGTTTATGTGTGCAGTCCGCACTACTGTTAGTATTGCTGTATGTCACTGTGTTAATTATATATATATATATATATGTCTATTAAACGGTACAACGATGTTATGGGAGACAGAGATATGGGCACATGCAAATGTGATCGTATCACACATAAACAATTTAGTCTTCTGTTTTCTTCTTATTCACTTCTTATTCTTTTACAACAGAATATCTTTTCACACAACACTCCTTCACAACACTCACAAAAACCCTGATCAATAAGGTATCATAAGAAACATAAAAATGTAAAAACCAATAAGAGCTGGACGATAATCATACACATCTGTGGAAGGGGATCCGGGGAATACATTAAGAATATCCCTGGGCACATAGTCCTCGTCCTGTCTAGATCCAACCGATATACGAACACGTCGCGATCATCGTCCGGCTCTCTTTCGCCTTTTAAACCAGTTTTGTATTTTTTTTGATTTTGTTTGTTTCCTTTACTATTACTGTATCATGTGTTTTTTAATAATAAAATAGTCGAAGACATTATATACAAATCAGTTATTTCAATTCATGTTTTCTTTATTATTCCACGAGTAAATTATTGCATCAGTAAAGGATTATATAATTAAGGTAAGAACATTCCAATTTATTATGCACGTACTTAAGTTAGCAAGTGACCCTCGAACAACACACCCCGAGAATAGGGATAATTCTTATTTTGCGATACTCCTATAATATTTCCTTCCATCTTACTTTATCCTTTTCTTATTCTTATTTTTGTTTTACAACATTTTATTAAAATTTTAATTACAACTAATGGAATTTTGATATCTCTAGACAAAAATAATGACTAAAATTGATTAAAATNCCTCTAGACAAAAATAATGACTAAAATTGATTAAAGTTACTATCTAAAAGAAAATCTTTTATTTTATCGACAGTAACACCATTAAAAGAAGACTTATAATTTAAATTTAATTACAAGGAGTTGTTAAAATATTTTTATGTAAATATAATATTAGTTTACATTTACAAAAAGTAATAATGTTTACATATTTAAAAGAAATCTTTTTTTTTTGTCAATTTTAATAATGAATTTTTATATATAATGTTTATTAATATTTTTGTTTGTACCAGAGGCATATTTTTTTAATTTTCCTGATTTTAATAATTAAATTTTTAATATATTTTTGTTACATCGATTCTGATGTAATATTTTTCTTGTAAAACACTTATTAAGCCCGTAACACTTATACAGGTAGCTAATTGGATTTTTATGACATTGCTATCACTGCCACGTATTGTTTATTATCAATTATATCAATAGATATACTTTTTGTATTGTCAGTTAGTATATTTATAAACTCACAACAATGTTCCTTATTACTATTGATAATAAAAATGCTTTTCTTTTTTTAACGACCGGAACTGCCGTGAGGCATTACTCCAAGGCGGCTCACGCCGTCTTAATAATTCACACCACCACGTTGTGAATCAGCCCGAAATTAATTATGAGCTGATTTGCAACGTGGTGTGGCCCCCTCCCGTTAACCGGATCCCAGAGTGGGAACCGTTAGGGAGGACTGCCAAAATAACTCACAAGACATAAAACATAACACAAAAATGAGAACCTAAGGCACTGGTCTAAACCAGCGCCTCAGGTCCTCATGTGCCGGGCGGCGTGGCTGCCTCTGTCTCAGGCGTTCCGCTTCTTCTTTCTTTAATAAGAAGGATTCGGCGAACGCTTGGACGAGCCTCCACGCCTCCCGGTTCCTCAACATCAAGTTCACCATGGACCCGACTTGGAACTTGGACCCCAGTCGAGACTCCAAATAGTCCCGTTCCTGTGCCCACGCCTCGCGCCTGAAGAGGGTGTGTAGAGCGCTATCAGTCTCTGCCGAGCGATCATCACTTGGGTGAGACGATAAGTTATCTCACCCTGAGTCCGGTCCACCCACCTGTCCAGCCGATCGGGTCCTATGAGGGACCAAGTCGTCGTTTCCTCCGAGAGGCGAGTCTGTCACCGGAGCATGGTCATCCGCCTGAGCGCTATCCAGTCCTCAGGTTCGAGGAACCGGTTGCGTTCTCCTCGGCGAGCAGGTCGGCGGGCAGCAGTGATGACAAGATACCCACCGACACTCCGGACACCGTTCGGTACGCCGAAACTGTCCGGATCGCCGCCCGCCTCTGCACCCTCAAGAGTATCCGCCCAAACCGGGGACCCGTACAGTAGGACCGAGTGTACGACGCTGACTAAAAGTCTACGCCGCATCTCTCTCGGCCCTCCCAGATTGAGCATGAGTCTCGCCAGGCAATTCATGACTTTCTGGGCCCGAACTTTAGACGTTTGTCTATGACAAAGCCCAGTTATGTCATGAAGTCCTTAAGCGGGATCTCCACTCCCAGCACGGCGAGCCGTGGAGGAGTGAACTTGTACCTGCTTCGGTCTTGACCAGGGCGAGGCTAAGTCCGCTCCCCTCCTGCTGGATCCAGGCGGAGACTGCGCTAAGCGCGCACTTCGCACGAGATCCAGCCTCCTCGAACGAGGTGCCTTCCGCCACCACCAGCGTGTGGTCCGCGTAGCACGTGCGGTGGTAGCGGATAATTAAAATGCTGTGCACTTGCGAATATCGATGTCATAAAAATTCAATTAGCTACTTGTATTTATAATCCCTTGTGTACTATACATGTATATTAACTCAACATTTTGAAACTTTAAATGTTTATATCTAATAAACTAATAAAGTTATACATAAATTCCAATGTCACAATTTAATAAAATTTGAAAAGTTTTTATAAAAACCCAAACATTTTATTAAATTTAAAATATGTGTTCCCATTTTAAAAAACAAAGTTGACACCCTTACGTGGCATAAGGGATGAACATAAAAAGTTTTAAATAGTTAATAATACAAAAATAATGTGTAACTAAAGAAAACCAAAAAAAAATATGTTTAAATTATATTTATTCTGTAAGTAATTACGTGGGTTATAATAAAAAAATCACTCTGTATATATAAATTTCAAAATGATTAATATATTCTATTCATCTGTAATAATCTCTGTATTTTATGCTTATTTATCAATAAACAATTATATTGTAGGAATTAGACAATGATGATTTTCGGGGGTAAAAAAATATTATAAAAAGGGAGAGCAAACCTTTATTCCTGCCTNTAAAAGGGAGAGCAAACCTTTATTCCTGCCTGTTCTTGTTGTGATCATCATTATCGAAGATCTTATATGTAAATTTGTGAACTAAAATTTAAATTAGTGTTAATTTATTTTTTTCATTTTATTAATATTATCATTGAAGATATTATAAGAACTAGTAAAATTATCAGATAAGATACTTTTAAATCCAAAAGAATATTTATATTGTTATTTTATGACCCTCGATCACACCCCGAATCAATAGTAACTCGAACTCACACTTTAATTCACTCAACAATAAACTCTCTCAATTCTTGTCTTTTTACTTTTAATTCCATTTTTTATTAATTTTTGAGTTACCACACCAGTGCTAAGCTTTTATTGAGCCTGTATTGATCTAGTACTAAGCTATTATTAAGCTAGTATAGAATCCTGTACTGACCTACAGTACTGGGGCAATACTGTCCCAGTACTGGTAGTCGGTACAAAAAAGTGTTATCATTTGTGAGTTATGCCAGTACAAAATATCAGAACTGGCGCAGTATTGCGCCCTTAGTACATTTCTGCTTGGGATGAACCAAAATTATATTATATTAAATTCAATATCACTAAATTGTTAGAAGTTTAATTATTTTTTTAATATTATAGGAACATCCATATAAATCCAATTGTCCCGATAGCAGAGATTCATAAGAGAAGCACTGCACCCAATTTTTTGTTGAATTCAATCTTATATTAATTTTAACTTGATTTCTTTCGGTAAAGCTAACGTAAGTATGACATGGCTAGAATTTTGCGACAGATTAATTTTGTTGTATTTAAATATCACTTTGTTGTATTTAAATATCACTTTATTGTATTTAAATATGGAACAATCTTTTTGTTCTAACTTATAGTTTTAGTAGTTCAATAATAACGCAAAATGTAGTTAATAAAGATATAATTAATCAAAANTAAATGTATAACGCAATAAATAATGTAGTTAATAAAGATATAATCAATCAAAATAAAACATATAAAATATTGATACGCTTAAAACCGGATAAATAAATAATATACAAAATAAAAACTTAATGTCACAAACGTACCACACGGAAAGAGATTACCTTCGGTACTCCCGAGGTCTTCTCTCTCTCCCTTTTTTCAATTCATTCCATTTCATCTTATATACTAAAATATTTTGTTTGTCTTTTTATAAAATTCATATAGTAATCATTTTCAAAAAGGTTTATAAATATTTACTTCCTGATCTAGTAACAATAATTCGGGGAATTACAATTAATCCAAACATTACAAAAGTGTTCTACTTCTAGGTTTACAAATAATAGACTATATTATATTTTAGTAATAATAGATTAAGAAATTCATAGTTAAACCAAACATTACAAAAATGCTTTGTTTTCAGTTTTATAAAATAATGACCTATATTACAATTTAAAAACATATTTTAAAATGTTTTAAGTAGTAGATAAATGATAATACAAACAATACCATTAAAATGATATTAATCTTTCAAAGTTATAGCAATTTAATTACAAACTTTTACCATACATACAATGCAATAATTTGTGAAAAATTAATTATTTTTAAATTGCTGATATTTTTCGAAGTGTGTAATACCAGAGTTAATTTTATTGTTCAGTTTGTTTGTATTATTTAGTTGGAATTTTTAAAAAACTTAAGTTTACTTTAACTAAATACATTATGGAATTTTTTTTAATTGTTGAGCTATTTATAATGAATACATGTAATTTTTTTGATAAACTATTAAGTATTTTATTATGTATGAATACTCTACTAAAAAATTCTGATCAAATCGAATTTTCAGTTGATATTATGACTAATATACTAATATTGATACTAAATTTTCATATTTTGAAAAATGGAAATTTTGATGTAATTATGTAATTTTGTACACAGTAAATATTCTATTAGTATATATAACTTTCGTTGGTTGAATTTTGTTAATCAGTTTACAGCATGACAAATAATTACAATTATTATTCCATTTTTAGTGTGTTGAAATATCTGGATTGAATCATATTGAAATTGAACATTGCTAAAAGTCAAAAGAAGGATATGAATTGATGTTAAATGCAGAAAGTGAAACGAAAACAAAAACACTTGGACTTAGTTTTGTACTAACAAATATATTTGAAGGCGTATGTGTTTAAAATATTTCATTATTTCTGCAAAAAATTGTGTGAACCGTTATTATTTTTTATTTCCTTAGGTGTACAACGATAGGAAACAAGTTGCGGCATTGCAAACTTAGAAAGTACTATTTGCATAAAATTACTGGCACGTAGATTCAATAATTTATGCTTCCAAGGAAAAATATCTAATGCGATTTCCTGCTAAAAAGCTTGTTTCTACTATATAGATAAAATATAAATTAGAATTCATAACTATAATTTTTAATAAATGTCACTTTTGTTATAAATAATACCTTTAATAGTTTTAATATTAAATTTTTGTAGACATTTTAATTTTTATCAATCTTTTAATTATTTTTTACTAGTTTGATCTTAATTTTCTTACGAACACAATAAGACAATTTACGTTTAACAATTTAGAGGTAAAATTAACTATAAATGTTTTTACAGTAATATTAAGTTGAATTAAATATAAATATTTTTATTATATAATACTGTCTTTATTTTATTTAGTATTAATTTAGTATAAATTATTAAAAATGCTGTCCTGATGAATTTCTTTAGATACGTCTAAATTAATTAACAAAAATATATGTAAAATAACTTTTAAATATTTTTGAAATGAATGAAATTAAATTATCATATATAGTTTTGTTTTTACGATAAATATGTGAAAAGTCATGATTTTCCGAGGTCTAATAGCTTTCATGAATTTCTTTTCCCGTTATTTATATAAATTATTTTTACTATAATAATCACCATATAAACACTGTAATTTCATAGCAATTAAAAAAAAATTATTAGAATAAGTAAACACTTCTAATTTCAATTTTTAACATGCTTATATTAGTTTCACTTGTATGTTGTGGGTTGTTTGTTGCGAGTTGTGAGATGTTTGTAACTTTCCACGTGGCACGGTGTTATTATAATCACGTATCCCGTCGTCTATGGCCTTGAGACTAGACTGTCGTAACGCATTCACCCCACCCCTCTCACCAGTTGCCCGTAACACTATTTTCCTGTATAATTTTTGGTTTTCGTACCTGTACATGTGGGCGTGTCATCAACATTATATATATATAAACAAATTTTTATTGTTTATTATTAGATATCAACATTAAAAGATTCAAATTTTTTTGAGTTAATATACATGTAAACTACTGTATTAACTACTGTCGAATTCATGGACAAAAGAGATGAAGTTTATATGATCAGAATAAAAATTCAATTCAATTTCCACTTATATTAATATTGCATATAATTCAATATAGGCCAGTGTTTTTATTAGTAAATATAAAATTACTAATAATCATATTTTATTAAATTTTAACATGAATATATTATTTTAAAAAATAGAAAGTAAATTAGTTGACTTCGGAAAGTAAATAATAGTTATTTAAAAATACTATCCCTTAAAGATGATTAAAACATAAGATGTTCTTGTCAAAATATTTTCTTAAATTTATCAATAACTTAAAATTTTGAATTAAGTGATTTTGTGTACAAAATATTGATATTGGATCAAATTTTGTAAGGAATTTAGTGATACTTTAGCAGCTGAACATAAAGTTATGGAATTTGTATCAAATTTTGATAATCTGATAAATTTAGATTAGAAATATGTTAATGACGAGATTAAAAGTATTTCTTTACCTATAAATAGAATATATGCAAGTTATTTTTTTAATTTAATTGCAACCTCAAATATTGAAACATTTGTTAATAGCCTAAATTATTCAAGTTTTATAATCTTATATAAATCAACTCATTTTAATTCAAAAAATATTTTAGTTTCTTTTCATGATTATTATGTATACGTATGATGATAATGAGAATACATTACAAACTTGGCAATAATACCATGATAAGAAATTAGATAAGGCAATTATTACTTATCACTCTCATTCAAAAGTATATTGAAAAGATAGCGTTTTCTTCTGTTCTTTTCTCAATACGTATTTCATTGTTTAATACCGTAAAATAATACATGAAAATTCAAATTTTCACAAACTTCAAAACACTACAGAATATTTACTACTCAATATTAATAAGATATTTTTTTACTAAAATTTTTCTTAAATTCTACTCTACAAAATAGCTATCTTAGATTTTTTTTTTACATTTTATTTAAAATTTAAAAATAAATAATATTTTTAATAAAATGTAAAAAAATTAATTATTGAGATATACTATGTTAGCTATGTTAGCTATGGACCTAACGTATAACTATTATTTAAAAAAAAAATCAGCTAAAAATATTAACTGGATCAAAAGTTATTTAAGTTGTCAGTGAGTGGTGGGCCAACCTGTATAAACAAATTTTTATTGTTTATTATTAGATATCAACATTAAAAGATTCAAATTTTTTTGAGTTAATATACATGTATAATATATAAGGGATTACAAATACAGATAGCTTACTGGTTTTTTATGACGATATTAGCAAGCCTATAACCTTTTTTATCAATGGTATTAAGACACATTGTTGTGAGTTTATAAACACACTAACTGGCAATACAGAAATTATATCCATTACTAGTGATAATTAACAATAAACTCTCCACGACTGTAACAGCGATGTCATAAAAAACTAAAAAGTGAAAAATAAATATAGTTTAAAATAACCTAGTACAGTGGAGTCGCGACATAGTGAGGATGTAGTATAGTAGNACAACCTAGTACAGTGGAGTCGCGCCATGGATGTTGTATAGTAAGGTCCAATATAGATTTAATCTGACAGCGATTAAATCTAAAAAATTAATGGACAAAAGCAACATCATTTTCTATTTCCTTAATTATACCCAGATTAGTTTTTCTTTTAATTTTATGTTNCTTAGTTTTTCTTTTAATTTTATATTATATAATTTTTAAAATTAATCGTTTTAAAATTATTATTGATTATGATTTTTAATATGTTAAAAGTAATCATTTTGTACGTACTTTTTTTGTCCTTTAAAGTGAAAGTTTGAATAGAAAAATATTCATAAAAGTCAGTGTATTCCCCTAATAAGATATTTTAAAATAAAATAAAATATAAAACTCAGAATTTTATTACAAAAAAAGCATATTTTTGAATACGGTAGCCTTTTGGCATAGAAGATAGGTCGTCGGGACAAATTTTTTTTTTTAATTTTATAGTCCATGACATAAGCTTTAATTTGGCATATGTTTAAAGGACGCAGTATTTCCGGAACATTTTTAAAAGTTAAGTTGAAAAAATTTGTTTTTGTAAAAAGTTGCTATTTTGAATCCCCCCCAAATGAGCAGGTTAAGTGCTAGATTTTCACAAAAATGATATCAAATGAAATTAAAATATCTAAGGTTTTAGTATAAAAAAAAATTATGTTGATTTGTTGATTTTTCAAAAAGTTATAGAAGTTTTAAGAAAAAAAAGTGAAAAAATTTCGAAAATTAGCGATTTTTAAATTTGTAATTTTTTTGGATATTTCCNAGAAAATTTGCGATTTTTAAATTTGTAATTTTTTTGCATATTTCCCCCATTTGCGGGGAACGAGGGAATATTTTTTCAATTTTAAGGATAATGTCTCCAACTAGATACAATTTGTGATCTTTTGACGTATTTTTGAAAGAAATCGGCCCAGTGAGAGCTGAGAGAAAGTGGCAACAGACATAAAAAAAAAAATACATCATAGTAAATTTAATACCTTCGAAGCTAATAGACGTTACAATAAAATCATAAAAATAAATCGTTCAAGCGCCACAATCATTTAAGACACTAAATTTGCTTTCTTGATTTAAATTAAAGTAATTTTTTTATATTTTACGTTATTAAAAAAAAGTAAACTTATTAGAAACGGCGTACTTAGGCAAAATAACTGTCATGGTCATTTATGATCTGACATTTTATTTGTAGTTCTATTTTATTTCTATATGTTAAGTGTTCTAATTTATCGTAATTTTAAGTTTTAAAATTCAATAATTCAAATAATTTTGTAAAAATTATTGCAAAATTAATTTATGGCTAATTGAAAACAACTAAATAGTTTGTTAAAAAGAAACTTCAAATGTAGAATACAAATAAAAATAATAATAAATACTTGCATTTGAATTTTATAGAAGTTTTAAAAAAAATTGTAAATATTTCATTTAAATATGTAAAGAGAAATTGATGAGTCGAAATGTTTTTATATTATTTCATTAGGAAAGAGGGTATTGGTTGTAGACGTTAACTATTGGATCAATGGTACTCATTGAGGACAAACGTTGCAGACTTGTAATTCAAAATAACACATTTTGATAAACAATTGTTTTAATTGTTGGCCAATTAAAAAATGTTTAGTTTTATTAATTGGCTTAAATAATATGTAAACGAGGCAAATTTTTTTTGTATAAATAGGATAAAAATTCTGTTTAAATCGACACCGTTTGGTGATTTTTGCTTAAGTTATTTTTTGTGATAAATGAGTACGTATATACTTTAAACACTTTAACTGTTACATTTTTCTCTAAGTATAAATAAAAATTTTTAATTTTTTTGTATATATATTTATAAAAAAATATGGAATCGCATTTGTTTTTCGTGATAACGATGTTAGTAATATATTTTATAATTCCATTTCAAGTAATCAGAGATATTATGTTTATTGCATTGGCAGTTGTGTCGCTGCAGACTTTTTTAGAGATGAAACTTTTTAAGAAGAAAATCACTTCAACTAAACCAGTAGAACGTATTATGAATTATCGCTGTCCAGTTTTGACTACATATTCTATTAATTTGGAAACGCCTATTTTGACAAAAAATTCAATTTTAGAAGAACCGCTCATAGAAGATACATTTACGGGAACTCCGATAATTGAAACCGAAAAAGAGCCCTCAAATACTAATACGAACATTTCATTAATGAATAATGAAATTGAACCTGTCAAAAAACTAAACCCAGAAATTGTTACGAAAACAGAAATTGAAAAAATGACCACTAAAACTCCCACAGAGACTTCTGTAAAAGCTGTTAAGTGTTATAACTCAGACTTAATACAGTCCAAAAACAATAATTCAACACAACCATTTGAAATAGTGCCAGGAAATATAATTACTACAAATCAAGAAAACCGCACCTTAATAGAAAATTCACTCAAATTTAATAGAATACAGTCTAAAAATTTAACAGAAAATATTATAACATCTAACACTAACAGTTCGTTGCTAAGTAAAAAAACTGAACTTTTTACTCCAAAAGACCTGGAAAAGACTAAAGTGAATGGAAATTTACAACGTGAAAATAATAACAACAAAAATTCCGCAACTAGAACTCGGCCTAATGACATTAAAAAACATTTATGGGATAAGAGGTACTTATTGTTTTCAAAATTCGACGAAGGAATCATGATGGACAATGGTAATAAAATTATTATTTCAACAAACTTAAGTGTTTTACTTTATTTGACGTTTTTTTTTTTTTAGAATCATTTTATTCAGTATGTCCCGAAATCTTGAGTACACACATAGCGTTAAGATGTCCAGGCCTACACGTCGCTATGGATCCGTTTTGTGGTGCTGGTGGTAACGTCATCCAATTGGCCAAAAGATACAAACAAGTAATCGCTGTGGATAACGATGCTAATAAATTGGAATTCGCGAAAAGAAATGCTGAGATTTACGGAGTCAGAGAGAAGATTACATTTATACTGGGAGATTTCTTTGAAATCGCAGAATCCTTAAAAAAATATAAGCCACAGGTCATAGTGACTTCTCCTCCATGGGGCGGCCCTTCGTATAAGAAACATAAAGTTTACAGTCTTGAAAAGCATATGTGTAGCAATTACGAAGGAGGCGGTAAAAAACTCTTCGACCTGTTGAGAAGTATTGCTCCCAATGTAGCACTTCACATACCTAAAACTACAGGTCGAAACGAGGTAAATGAATCAAATTTCTATAAGTAAATCACAATTGTAGTTAATGTCGATCAATTAATTTTCTAGTTGATACAATTTGGCAAACTATTCGATCTAAACATGGAAATTCAGCATAATTATATTGACAATAGACACGATTCCATCACTGCGTTTTTCGGCCGCTTTTTCAATATGAACACTAAATACTTATCCAACGACAATAAACTTTACACTAATAAAAAATTCTTGAAGTATCCAGAATCAGATGATTACTATTAATGTTAAATATTAATTCACTATTTTTCGATTAAGTACTGCTTTATTTTTATTTTTTCTAATTATTGACATTATACTGATAAAAGACAAATTTCGGTATATTCTAATTTTCACGTTAAACATACTACCGATTTTCGACTAAATATAAATACCTTATAATTCTTAAATTTTTGCCGCAGCATGCAAGCAGATGACATATTTTACTGAAAAGTAAATTTAAATCATTGTGTTCTCATTATAAAACATAATTTTTTTATGCGCTTAATTTGTATAACTTGAATTCAATTTTTTAATGATTTTAGTTTTATGTTTANACAAGTTGCGGCATTGCAAACTTAGAAAGTACTATTTGCATAAAATTACTGGCACGTAGATTCAATAATTTATGCTTCCAAAGAAAAATATCTAATGCGATTTCCTGCTAAAAAGCTTGTTTCTACTATATAGATAAAATATAAATTAGAATTATAATTATAATTTTTAATAAATGTCACTTTTGTTATAAATAATACCTTTAATAGTTTTAATTATAAATTTTTGTAGACATTTAAATTTNTATTAAATTTTTGTAAAGAGCTATAAATTACCTTCACGAAAAACTTTATCTAAATCAATTTTGCCACAAATATACTCAAAAACTAAAGAAAAAGTTAAAACGAATTTAATTAATTCGCATTGTATTGCATTTACAACTAATGGGTGGACATCCNCAAAATATACATCCGTTGTTTTTTAAGTTTTTTTGTGATGTTGGATTTGATTAATATATTTAAATTTTTATTTATTAAAAAATTTAGACGCTAGTAGTCAATAAAAAATTTTTAAATATTAATTATTTAAACCACATAAGGATAAATAAAAATAGAACACTAAGAATCGTTTAATATCTTTTCTAATATATTAGATTGAAAATTCTGAAACCCATAAAAATTCTTATATTATTCATAATATTACAGCTGCCATAAATATGGATAAAAATTGGTGTCATATACCTTGCTTAGCTCATAGTATTAATACTATTGCTCAAAGCGGATTAGATGCAATACAAATTGTCCATAAAATATTTAAACGCATAGCTGAACATTTTAATCGTAGTTCTCAGACTTTCAGTAAATTAAAAAATATGCAAAAACAAATGGGTTATACGGATTTAAAACTCATTCAAGACAAAACTACGAGGTGGAATTCTACGTACGATATGTTTGAGAGATGTATTCGAATGAAAGAATCAATAATATCTACAGTAGCAATTTTAGATAATATTGAGAATATATCTTATGAAGACTGCGATAAAAAAAAAAAGGTTTGTTAATCATTTTACATATCAACGTACTTATGACAAGATTGTACAACGAGTAGCTGGATTTATTTTGTCAAAGCAACAGAAAGAAATACATCAAACAGAACAACAGGGACACGCGAACGATAATAGTCAAAGTGAAACTGAAGCCGTAGACATATGGAAACAGTTTGGCTCTCAGGTGTAACAACAAAAAAGTTTATTTATTTATTATGTTATTTAATCAAAAATTTTAATTTTTTAAGGTGGTAACTTTATCAAAAAAAACTCCTACTAGTGAAGCGATTATTGAGTTAGACAGATATTTGTATGAGCCTATTATAGAAAGAAAGTCGCATCCTTTATTATGGTGGAATGAGAAGAAAATGATGTTTCCTAACTTATTTAATCTTGTATTGTTGAGATTATGTGTTCCTTCAACTTCTGTCCCGTGCGAACAGACATTTTCTAAAGCGGGATACACAATAACTGAAAGGCGTAATAAACTTACAGTTAAAAATTCNGAAAGGCGTAATAGACTTACAGTTAAAAATTCAGAAATGTAACTGTTTTTAAATAGTAATTTTTGATTAAGAATTTTAAAAGACGTTTTTTATATAGTTAAATAATTTAATGAAATTATATTATAAATGATTAAGAAAAAATTGAAAATATCTTTTAAAATAAATATTGTTTTGAAGATATTTTATATCTTGCATATATATATAATTTAAAAAAAAGAGTATGTTATTAAACATATTGGTTAATAATATGATAGTTTAAACTGTTAT